GGGAGAAAGAGACCGCCTAGCCGTGGCCGTTGTAATCATTATTATCATTACGAAGGTCACTGCTTGCTGTGGGCCGAAGCCTGAGCGGCCGGTGTGTCAGCCCACAAGCAAGGTGTGTAGTTCTTGGGCTGCGCTGCCTGATTTATGATCGCCTAGATGTAGCTTGTTTAAAGTTAAAGGCCTGCCTGTCTGCCAATGCTGCCTGCACATTGTACACACAGAAAGCGCTGGCCTTGGTAAGTGTTGGATTTCGCGTTGCCCTCAGCATGAAGAGTATAATTTATTATTATTGTTTTTGTTATTCTCGCGGCGAGCATTATTGATTGTTGTTTTTCTGTTGTTAGTTGTCGTCATGCAGTTGGCCTTTTTATATTATTATTGTTGTTATTGTTTTCAGTTTTATTTCAGTTTGGTGTTATTATTATTATTATCATTATTGTTGTTGTTGTTGTTGTTGTTGTTGTTGTTGTTGTTGTTATTGTTGTTGCTGTCAGTTGTTTGGTTTTGTATTATTATTGTTGTTGTTGTCAGTTGTTTGTTTTGTTGTTATAATTATTATTGTTGTTGTTATCGTTTTTATTGATGATAATGACAATGATGATGATATGTCAGTGGTGATATATGTCATTGTTGCTGTAACGCTGGTGTTGTTATTGTCACTTTGCCTTTTTTGAATTATGTTCTTGTTGTTGTTTAGTTAGCAGTTGTTGTTAATGTTGTTTTTACTGTTGTGTTCTGTTGGAGGTGGTCTCTATTGTCATTTCTGCGGCTTTTGTTGTTGTTGTTATTGTCGCTGTTGTTGTTGTTGTTGTTGTTGTTGTTGTGTTATTGTTGTTGTTGTTGTTATATTGTTGTTGTTATAATTAAGTTGAGCCTACGTTGACAATGCGGTTCTTTTTGTTAGAATTTTGGTTCATTTTATTTCTCCCTCCATTGCTGTCATAATATAGTATCGTTGTTGTGGTTATTGTTATTGTTTGTTGTGACTACCGCATGTATGTTGATAGTTGTTTTGTGATTATTGTTGTAGTCGTCGTTGATACAAACGTAGTGATTGTGTTGTTGTTTTTGTTGTCGTTGGTATTGGTGATGCTATGTTCGTGAAATTAGCTGTAAAATTCTTACTTTGGTTACTTTTGTTGCTGCTGTTGTCGTCGTTGTCGTTGTTGTTGTTGTTGTTACTGTTGTTGTTGTTGTTGTTACTGTTGTTACTGTTGTTGTTGTTGTTCATCTTGTTGTTGTTGTTCATGTTGTTGTTGTTGTTATTGTTGTTGTTGTGTCGTTGTTATTGTTGTTGTTGTTATTGTTGTTGTTATTGTTGTTGTGTTGTTGTGTTGTTGTTATTGTTGTTGTTGTTGTTATTGTTGTTGTTGTGTTGTTGTTGTTCTTGTTGTTGTTGTTATTATTGTTGTTGTTATTGTTGTTGCTGTGTTGTTGTTGTTATTGTTGTTGTTGTATAACTGTCGTCGTCGTCGCAACTGTCGCCGTCGTTGATGCTGTTGGTTTTTTTGTTTTCTATTGGCTCAGTTGTTGCTGGTGTAATAATTACTCTTGTTTCGCTGTTGACATTTTTCTTTACTCAAATTTTTATGTTGTGATGATGGGTGCTGTTATTACGTTGATGACTTTCGTATCACTTCGGTAGGCCTACCTGCTACATGTACAACATGTAGGCCTACTCAAATTGGG